CGGAAAGCGCCTCTGAGGCAGATTTATGGCTGTTTTGGTTTGCTCACAGCTGTTTTCACGACTCCCCTAAGTAATTAATTTTTCATAATAGGCTTCTGTGTTTTCTTAAGTGCCAAAGCACCTGCAGGAAAGGGAAAGAAGTAATGTGGGTCTGGTCACACGTTTTCTCCTGGGCACTAAATAACAAGAATATACACTGCAAAAGCCCGGGACAAAGTCTTCGCTATTTCGGAGACATCCAAGCGGGATGGGTTGCCAGGCAGAGGGCTTGTCAGCCCCCCACCCACCCACCCAGCACCCAGGAGTGAATACCCGAGCTCCGGCCTGATGACAGGGCCAAGGCAGCCACCCACACCCATTATGAAAAGGCTGGAAAGCCGCTTGGTGGGACATGAGGGAAACGTTCTCCACTTCAGGGAACAGAGCTGGGGTTCCTCTGCCAGGCTCCTCCAGGGTTTGTGAGGCCGCGCACCCCCTCCGGAGTGGACTCCTGGGTGCCTCACGTGCTGGGATGCAACCCTCCACCTGAAGTCGGACAGCTCCTGGGACACCCCGTGTCACGGAGTGAACTGCATGCCTCCAAAACTCGTAATATTTTGACTATATTTGGAGGTAGGGCCTTTAAAGAGGTAATCAAAGTGTCCTTATAAGAGGAAGAGTCACCAGGGACACGTGCTCACAGAGAGAAGGCCGTCAAGCCAAGGAAAGAGGCCTCACCAGAAACCAAGACCTTGCTCCTGGGGGACTTCCAGCCTCTGGAACTACGAATTTAGTAAATTTCTGTTGTTTAAGCCACCGGTCTGTGGTATTTTGTTACAACCACACTAGTAAAGCAATACACCCTGGATACCCATACACACTCCCCCTCTTTTAATTTTTTTGCTGTGACACAAGAGATAGGGGCAAGATGGGGAGGGTACAAGTCAAAACCACCCATCACTGAAAACTTCTAAGTATTCCAATGTCTTGTCTGGAACATCCACAGGGCAGGCAACAGTGCTGTTCCCTGAAGGTTCCCTGAAGTTTACAGCCACCTCAGAAAATGGCACCCCCCCATTACCATACACACACACACACACACACACACACACACACACACACACCATCCACCAACCAACCACTACTACACAGAACG